CTAACTTCAATACGCATACATAAACGCAGAATAACGCAACGCATATAGATACATAATTCACGCTGAAATGAGAAATTCTGAACTACTTTATATACTAAATAGACAGATTTTTCTGCACTTGTGAGAAGCTTAATATTACATTGTTAAATATTTAAAAATGAAATTAAAAACAATTATTTATCAAAACTTTTTCTAGTCTATATTGCAGAAATAAAAATTACATAAAAATTATGATCAAACAAATGAAGTATTTTATTATTAAATATTAATTAAAATTATTTTTAATTCATATTGCAGTATTAAAAATTATTTTAAAATCAGGATGTCCAGTAAGGCTGAAAGAAAAAAATTCCCTGACTTTTCTCTGACATTTTTTTTCGTGACTACTCGTTAGTGATCGGACTCACTCGCTTAACTTCGTCAAACTTTGGTGATTTTTGATAATTTTCTATCATTTTTTGAAAGAAAAAGTTTCTATTAGTATTATATAAATATAAGGATTTAACACCAATCCACTTTCTTATCGACTATATCAAAATGTAAAATGATTATAGGTACCAGTTAACGGAATTCTAAATACAGAAAATGAAATATTTTATTCTAATACTTGTTACAGGGCGTATTAGAATTTAACATTTGGAGTTTTCATAATACAATTATGAATTTCGCAAAAACTACTCTAATTTTTGTTTCTAAAATATATTAAACTTTATTATTTTTATTTTAGGCATTCTTAAAAAATAGTAATGAAATCTATAAACACCCCAAAATCTGCAAAATCTTTCGCAATTGTAACTTAATATACTAAATATGAGTGTCAAAATATTAAATATTCTAACAAGATTTCTTTCCATGTATGACATGTATCTATAACCAATTTTGCTAAAGTTTATTCAGTAAAAGTAATTCTAGCCAAGGTAACTAAGATACCTAGTTATTCTGATAAGGTTTCCTAGTCATTCCGACTAATTGACAAAATCAACTTTGACCAAGATTGCCTAGTGGGTTCCTCTCGTAACTAGGCAAATTAGTCAATTCCTGGTATAGGGGTGTTAGGAATTTTTTTCAAGATTGCGTCTCCATTCTGGAAGCGGCCTATACTAGGGGGGCTGCGCCCAGGGATGCGCAGTTACGCGTAACTGAGAGTTTTTGACGTAATTTACGTCAAAAACGTAATATACGTATAAATCGTATGAAATGTATGAAACTAAATCAAGATGGCGGATTTAAATTTAAATCATTTACAAACATAACCTGATAACCAAACATAACCTTTTAATATATTATATATACACTGTAAAAAAAATTTTGTGTCGATTTACACGCCGAATGTAAAATAACTTATTCAACAATGTTAATTTATTATGCTTTGTAAATTTATAACGTTAAACATTTTAATTTTACACTGCTGAACGTTGTGAATTCACACGGTTGTGTAATTTTACAATGTTGGACATTGGAAAGTATGGCCACATATGTATGGCCATACTTTCCAATGTCCAACTTTGTAAAATTACACAACCGTGTGAATTCACAACGTTCAGCAGTGTAAAATTAAAATGTAATCATATAACTCTCATCTAATTCTAATCTTTGTTTAATGTTCTGACAGTTTGCTAAGACAAGAAGTCACACAAAGAGAAGAAGAAGAAGAAGAAAATTAAAATGTTTAACGTTATAAATTTACAAAGCATAATAAATTAACATTGTTGAATAAGTTATTTTACATTCGGCGTGTAAATCGACACAAAATTTTTTTTACAGTGCATGAATACTAAAGAAAGGTTATGTTTACATATATCACAAATTCACAAATCGCCGCCATATTGAAAACGTAAATTACGTTTTGTAGAAAACGAGTGACGTATATAACGTACGTTATATACGTATGAAACTACACGTAATCTACACTACGTTTATTACGTGCGCATCCCTGGCTGCGCCCCCTACGCGCCTCGCGCGCGAACCCCCATGATTGGGGGGTCATAATCGGTTTGTCATCGCATAACATATATATATATATATATGTGCCATTACATGAGTCTTTTAGCACTTTTCGGAGTAACCTTTCCAAATTAAATGAAACATTTTTTTTATAATATTTATTAATATAAAGGTCCAAAATAATCACTTTTTAAGTAAAAACAATTGTTTATTTAAAAAATACAATAATAAATAATGAAAAAAATTCACTTTTTTTCTGCAACACCAAATAAATTGATTTAAAGATAAAAATTTTCCTTATTTTTCAAGCTTTAATACCGTACAAGAAAAATAATGTATTTCAAAATAGTTAACTCACAATTTATTAAACAATTTTTGTTTTCTTTTTTGTATTTTATTTATTGTGAAACGTCTGCTATAATTGCGCGCGACGTTCGGAAGTTGTCGCTCTCGTTATTGAGCAGAAGCTCATTACACTAGCGTAGTAGAAAGCATGTTGTGCGAAAAGTGAGGTTATGTTGTCATTAAACGAAACGTAAACATTCCTGCACTGAGAGAAGAAAAGCACAGAATCCGTACTGTGACGAACGCCGGCCGTGTAAAATGGGTGTCAGTATCCGTTCTTTAGTTTTGTTCAGTTAGTGTCGTTCATAGTTCAGATACTAAGCTCTAGCAGCGCGGCAGCGGTGTGAACTAAGTTATACGGAATCTGTCTCATAGCGACCGACAGATACTGTACTTCTGAACAGTTCATATCTGTGTACAGTATCTATACTCAAGCCAAGCACAACATCCATTTCACATTTTAGTACGGCATCTACCACACAGTGACGCTGCTGCTGCGCTCAACTTGGTGTACAGATGCTTAACTTCTCCATTTTAGATTCCGTGCTTTTCTTCTCTCAGTGTGGTTATCACATTGAATGGTTTTTAATTATCTACTTTGCAGTAAATCATATAGTATATATATGTATATATATATATAGATATACACATAATAAAAATAAAAAATATTGTATAGTAAAATTAGATTATAATTTATTTTATATTTATAATGATGGACACATTTGAACCCCCACCCACACAGACATTTTTTAAATTTACACATTGATTAAAATATTTTTTTTTGATAAAAAAGTGTATTAGTATTAAATAATTTAGTTGACTTGAATCAGTTACATAAATTTATTGTATCAAATACTTTTTATTTGTATCAAATAAACGAAATATTTAAGTGAAATAAATGAATGAATAGTTTCAAATAACTCATTATTTGTATTAAATAAATTCATTTATTCAATTCAATTAATTTTTTAATTGAACCAAATACGATTTATTTGATTCAAATAAATGCGATTCAAATAATTCAAGTTATTTGAATCAAATACATATTTTTTTGATCCAAATAAAATATTTTTAAAATAATTTGAAGTATTTGAATCAAATAAATTTTTTTTTCAGAGTAGATTTCCAGGATTCAAGACCTAAGTTAAAACATAACCTTAAAATTCAAGGACATAGTCATGGAACCGTTGAGTTTGAGACTAAGTCCGATAAACAAAACTTCAAATTCCCCTAACCATGAAACGAACATAACCTCAACATTTAGAAAAATTTTTAATAATTTTAATATATGCAAGCCTTAAAAAATTTATCATTATAGTGGAAAATTTAAATTCTTGTATTAATTGAGGGTTCCGATCAAACAACTCGACCGACGCTCGGACGAACGCTCTATTACCAGTCAAGTAGCAGTGACAGCCTGTGGGCGACTCATTACTACCCGACTAGCATTAGAGCGTTCGTCCGAGCGTCGGTCGAGTTATTTGATCGGAACCCTGAATTAATATCCGGGGCGTAATAGAATGCTCAAATCGAACAGCTTCCATGCAGTCAAAAAGAGATAAAAAGTATTTTTGCCACGATTATATTTTTTCAGTTTTTAATTAAGGTAGTTCTCCGGCTAATCAATTTTCTATGAATTTTTCTTAAACTTTGCAAAAATATTCCTTTTTGTGTACTTTATAAGTGGTAAAAAACTCAGTACCTCTATCCATGGTAGAAACTGAGATATTCGGGTTCAAAGTTGGAACAATTAACATAGGATTCCTATCTTAAACATGCAACAGTGATACATTTAATTTCTTAAAACGTTTTCTATCAATTTTCTTTAAAAACTAGTATATTCTAGAATGGAATTAATAAAATAATATAAAAAAAAATTTAGTAGGGGTATCTATGCTAATTTTTGAATTACAACGTTTTAAAATAGAAAAGTTAGGTTCCTTGCGAGTAGTTTATACTAATTAACAGCTTACTTCACTTTTGTACTTTCTCTCTCATTCTCAAGCGAGTAATATACTTGACTCTCTTGAAAAATGTATAAATAACCTAACTTTTCTATTTTAAAACGTTGTAATTCAAAAATTAGCATAGATACCCCTACTAAATTTTTTTTTATATTATTTTATTAATTCCATTCTAGAATATACTAGTTTTTAAAGAAAATTGATAGAAAACGTTTTAAGAAATTAAATGTATCACTGTTGCATGTTTAAGATAGGAATCCTATGTTAATTGTTCCAACTTTGAACCCGAATATCTCAGTTTCTACCATGGATAGAGGTACTGAGTTTTTTACCACTTATAAAGTACACAAAAAGGAATATTTTTGCAAAGTTTAAGAAAAATTCATAGAAAATTGATTAGCCGGAGAACTACCTTAAATATAGTTTACGATAAATTTTATTTTAATCTTTAATCCGTTTCAAATAGAACACTTGCATTACTTGAAAAAAACGATTCTTGAAAAAAGTATAAGAGATATTCGAACGTTTTTTTATAATTATAAAGATAATATATTGGACTAAGTTTTCTGTATGCTAAACTTTTAATTAATGTGAAAATGACGACGCTAATCAATAAATAGTGGAAAGTGTTTTATAACGATCCGTCTCTTCTACTTATTTTTCAACATAATATATATATATATATATAAAAATAAACTTTTGTAACAATACAATAAAAATTAAAAAATAGTTTCTTTTTCTTCATAGGCTACTTACTTACGAGAGTTGAGAAAAAAATTGGTTCTCCAGAAAAGCCTCTGTCTGATTTAGGTCTAATTTCTTATCGAAGTTACTGGAAAGATGTGTTACTGCAATATCTGTGTAATTTCGGGGGAAAGGAACTTTCGGTGAAAGGTACAAATATAAAAATATTTTTTTAATACATTATATAGATTCATTTTTTCAACTAACAAAGTTTTCCACTGGTTATAGATATCAGTAAGGAGATGGCGATTGATTCTTATGATATAGTTAGTACTCTTCAAGCATTAGGAATGATGAAATATTGGAAAGGAAAACACATTATTTTGAAAAAACAGGTTAATACGATTTTTAAATTAATAAATTGAAGTGCATGTTTTTTTTATTAGAAATGAACAAATATTAATGTTAATATTATTAACTAATTATTCTTGTTGAATCCGATGTGCAGCCATGCACACATATAAGCTATAAAGAACCAGATTCCATAAAAGTTAAACCAATTTTGAATTGAACAAATTACATTAAATTTGCCAAGTTCTTTTATTTATTTATAAACGGGACAGGCCCTTTTGTACACAATATGTGATCTTAAAACTTGAAGTAGTACTATAAGGAGACATATCGCTGTATATTAAAGGTGGCCTTGTTTTCGGTATTCACGGTTCTCAAATTTTCACCAATCTACAATTATCTAATTATCGACTGCTATATTGAGAAAACAAACTGACATGTTGTTTATTTACCGTTTATTAAAGAAAATCAATTAATATTATATTAAAATATACGTTAAACAAAAAATTAGAGTAACCGTGAATACCGAAAACGGGGCTATCCGTTAGAACCGGCCATAGGTGATATGTCACCTTATACATACTACTTCGTGTCTGCAACATATTTAACCTTCGGAGCACACAGCTCTTTTTTCAATCAAGTTCACTTTTCCAACCTCTGCCATTTCTAAAATACTCAGTAGATTGCCTTAAAATTGATGGGTGTGGGTTTTCATTTTTGACGAGAGCAAGGTTACACAGACCTTGTATGTGCTCCGAGGGTTAAATATCAGATATCTCTAACAGTTAAGTATCCGCAATTTTTAAATTATTATAACCTTCTTTTTAAATAATAATTTCATGTCTTTATACGCATAGTTAATAAAATGTCTTATAAAAATTACATTTTAAAAACTTTAGTATTCGTTTTAGGATGTAATCGACGATTACAAAGAAAGGGTGAAGCGTCGTGGACCTGTGTACAAAGAAATCGATCCCGAGTGTCTTAAATGGAACCCTTTCCAGACTCCTAAGACGCCTTCAGCCTCAAACTAATGTCTGTAAACTTCAGCCATTGCTTTTTATAGGAACAAATTCATTAATGGCGACCAATACATTTAATACTGTTCATACTTTACGTATAGTCTAATTTCACTTTTTTAAATTACAGATATTAATTGCTTTTTTTCTTTTTATATTTTTTATTTAATCGATTTTTGAATTTAAATTGTCATTTTACGTCTACTTTTGAGCTAGCGGTATGTCATTTTTTTTTATTTCGAACCAAATCGTTGCTCAAGTAATTTATTTTGTGCAACACTTGCAAGAAAAGCGCTACTTTACTTTAACGTAAATGAAGCACAAAATTGTTGATTTCTGCATTCTGATAAAGTGTGCAGCAAAGTACACTTTTCTGCACACTTTCAGGCATATTAGGCAACATAACCTTAAATTTATTCTTTAAAACAGCATATAAAATAGCAGATGTTGCACAAAGCACTGTGTGCTATTCGAGCGGGAAGTAGCATTTTCCGCTCTCGTTGCACAATGTACAATTACATGTAAAAAAGATAAATTGAAGATTTTTGATTTTTTTTTTAATTATTGAGAAGAAATTGAGAAAAACATTAGTAACATATAAATATCAAATCTTTGTATATATTGTATATATATATATTTTATTTCTTTTATATGTATAAAAGGCATTTATTAAATCTGCCCAGTATGTATTTTTCTATTTACAAAAATAAATATAAACTCATGATAATTGTTTCTGTGTAAATTTTTTTTTATTTATAACCAATGCAACAATTGCCTTTTCTTTACTGCTTTTGCTACACGGCAAATATTGCATTATAAGAATATATTTTAAATTATTTTTTTCAGTTAAAAAAGACTTACCTTAAATTTATAAGTAAATAGAATTATTTGTTGTTGTTATACACATTTGTTATAATTATGCGGATTTGAAAATGACCGTTTCAGTTAAAAAGCCAAGAATTCAACTCATATTATTTTTTAAAATTCTTTTTTTTTAATGAGCTAATCTTATAGGAATCTGTTATTCGTAGGTCAACAATTGGGATAGTTCATAAATAATGCCCCTTGTGAAATGTAAACAAACCGAAAATGTATAAGCAATTATTGGCTAATTTGTGGCCGACTTTTTTTTAATATAAAAATTTTCCTTTCTCTGTGTGAAAATGGAAAATTAATATTGCATTTAAATAACAATTTTATTGAAGTAACAATTTTTAAAAGTTTCAAAAAATTTAACAGTATGATTATATATGCCACACGGACCGAGAAGACCCAGGTGGCAGAGATTCGAACGATTTACATTAACAAATAATTTATGCGCAGTAATTTTCTATGACATCTACTGCTGCGCAATTAATTTTAATAAAATTAATCTTACATATGTCTGTTCAACAATATAACAAAAATACATCACTGTCTAATAAAAATAAATTATATTGTTTAAAAAGTAATTGTAATTATATTTATGGAAACATAAAGTTTTCTTGTAAGCTTACAGTGAACTTACAACAATCTTATAATAAGATCACTTTAAGCTTATATTGTAAATTCAAGATAAGGATACCTTAAACTTACAATGTTAGCTTACAGTGAAAGGGACATACAATGATTGCTGTGAGGTTATCTAGAGCTTACATGTGAACTTAATGAATATACATATGTGACCGTCCACGACAAAACAAGGCTTATCTCCCAAAAAATCAATTTTGAGTTTTTGATGCTAATCGATAGATTTTAAGTTGCTCTTTCACATGCAAAAGTCAGAAATTGTTTATGTCAATTACTTTTGACACTATAACGTTCTAAAGACGGGCATTTCAAGCGTGTTCCTTGTTTCTGCTTCTACCTCGGCTTCTACTTCAATAGGTTGCCCTGTGAAATTACTTTTGGGAGCTAAGCCTTGTTTTGTCGTGGACGGTCACATATATTGTATGCTTAAGGAGTTAAATCACTCTAGAATTTTCAAAAAGTCAAAAAAAATTTTTTACTATAAAACGTGTCTAAGAGTATATAAAATAAGAAACAATATCAATTATAAGTAGAGTGCTTGAATTTGATCTCGATCGTGGTCTTGAACTGCGTGCTTGGGAGATGTATTTTCTTATATAATCTAATGCAGTGAAACTTCCACTTCATTTTAAATCCTGGCAAGCTCCTTCAGTAAAATTTAATTAATTTTCACAACTATAGTGAAGTTCCATTGACTATATGGCGCTAGTTTTACAGATTAAAGGTATATCTAACAAATCATAACTAAAACTTTAAACGCGATTTTCTCAAAACTACTTTTTTGAAATGAACGGAAACATAACTTTCACAAATGACAAATTTTAACCGATTTACCTGAAAATTTTTTTTTTTTTAAATTTAACTGTAGCCTCTTAATAACATTATCTAGAGAAAGACGTACGGCTTTTTTTAAGTTGCATATTTTTAAAGTTATAAACAATTTAGTGCCTATGTTTTAGGAAAAAACTCTGTTTTTCCAAAAAATGTTCTCGATTTTTGCAAAAATAAAAAAAAATCCTCTATGTTCTTCTCTACACGGAAAGAAATCTTGTTAGAATATTTAATAAATCTGAATAGAAATTTTGATATTTTTGTTTTTCAATTGCGAAACATTCTGGTTTGATAATAAAAGTTGGTATAGTTTAACGAATTCCTTTAACTGGAAACATTTTACGAAAACTGAAATTATTATTTCTTAATTCAAATCTATTTTCAAATATTGAAAAAACTATAGGAAAAAACAGTACATATAGGAAGTAAACAGTCTAGCACTTTGTTATTTACTAAATTTATACGAAAAATCAGAACCAACATTTCGTAATTTGCTAAAACTATACGAAAAAGTAGGAGTGGTGTTATAAAATAAAGCACGTTTCAATATTTGCTAAAACTATACGAAAAAGCAGGAGCCGTGAAAAAAAGAAGAACGTCGGAACCACCAATGGCTCTTTTCTAAGATTTCCTCTCCTTTTCTATTCGAGGGTATAGTGAAAACGCTTTGATTGGCTTAAAATTATTCCTAACACATCCTAACTACAATACGCATATGAGAGATTCTTTTTCAATCGCCCCAGCCCAAAAAGTCAATGTTCTGGGATTGGCTTCATACTTTGGTATTGATTGTCATGAAGAGAGTGATGAACGTTTGTGAAATCTTGGAAAAAGTTAATGAAAGATTTTCAAACTTTGGGCCCGTCCAAAAGTGAACAACTAGTTTACGAAACTTTCACGAACTATTTTTTTCCGTGTATCGGCACCGCCTACATTAATATTCTGTTTCTCACAAAATTATTGTTGTCCCATTTTCATATTTACATAGCTCATGGGAAAAAACCTCAGCTTTTCAATGAAAATAAAAAAAAAAAAAAAATACCCGAAGGGGTGAAAACCGAGAAATAAGGGTTGATTTTGAAAAAAAGGGGTCAAAAAATTTTTTTTTAATTTTGTATACATTTTTGAAAAGTACGTGAAAAATGCATTAAAATTCATTATGGATAAATTTAAATCCATTAACTTTTGTCAAAGTTATACGGATTTGAAAATGACAATGTTACCCTTAACGTCCAAACTTCAACCCCCTCTACTTTCTACAAATATTTTTTTAATGAGTTTATATTTTAGGGATTTATTACTATCATATAGGACAACAATTTACCAAAGTATGAAGCCAATCCCAGAACATTGACTTTTTGGGCTGGGGCGATTGAAAAAGAATCTCTCATATATAAACGAAGAATAACGCAACTGGGATCTGACATGGGGGCGGGGCCTAAAGCAATATGGCGTAAATTGGGTAACACTTTTAGTGAATTTACATGGGAATAACATGGGATGCAGAAAATGTTCATTTCTATGGACAGTATTTGCGCATGGGCAGGTACAAATCCTGCTCAACGAAAATTTATTGAAGGTGAACGCGTTTTGCAAGCCGGGCACATTATAAAGTGTGGTGTAAATCGTGTAATTTTGGTTTTGGTTTCGGAAATTTATGGAAAATTACGCTTAAATTTTTCTCTACAGTACTGCCACAGCCCCTCAAAGAACACTTAATTCTGCAGGAAGATTTCTCACGCGGTAAAAATGTAGCTTCATTCATAATGATAAAATAATTAACAATGACAGCGGAACTACAATTGCAAGTGACACAAACAGTTATCCAAAACTAGTTACATTTTTCAACACCAGATGGCATGTGTACGAATGTCAGATCCCACACGCTGAAATGAGAAATTCTGAACTTCTTTATGTACTAAATAGACAGATTTTTCTGCACTTGTGAGAAGCTTAATATTACATTGTTAAATATTTAAAAATGAAAATAAAAATAATTATTTATTAAGAAATAATAAAATATTTTATTACCTTTCAAAGAACAATCTTTATTATAAAATCATTTAATTTAATTATAGAATCAAACTTATAACAAATATTCTATAATTATATTTAGAAAAAGAAATATAGAATAATTAAAAACAATTATTTATCAAAACTTTTTCTAGTCTATATTGCAGAAATAAAAATTATATAAAAATTATGAGCAAACAAATGAAGTATTTTATTATTAAATATTAATTAAAATTATTTTTAATTCATATTGCAGTATTAAAAATTATTTTAAAATCAGGATGTCCAGTAAGGCTGAAAGAAAAAAATTCCCTGACTTTTCTCTGACTTTTTTTTTCGTGACTATACTCGTTAGAGATCGGACTCACTCGCTTAACTTCGTCAAACTTTGGTGATTTTTGATATTTTTCTATCATTTTTTGAAAGAAAAAGTTTCTATTAGTATTATATGTAAATATAAGGATTTAACACCAATCCACTTTCTTATCGACTATATCAAAATGTAAAATGATTATAGGTACCAGTTAACGGAATTCTAAATACAGAAAATGAAATATTTTATTCTAATACTGGTTACAGGGCGTGTTAGAATTTAACATTTGGAGATTTCATAATACAATTATGAATTTCGCAAAAACTATATTCTAATTTTTGTTTCTAAATATATTAAACTTTATTATTTTTATTTTAGGCATTCTTAAAAAATAGTAATGAAATCTATAAACACCCCAAAATCTGCAAAATCTTTCGCAATTGTAACTTAATATACTAAATATGAGTGTCAAAATATTAAATATTCTAACAAGATTTCTTTATTAATTTATTTTCACAGGGCAGACTACCATGACTTTTTGCATCCAGATGATTTGAAATAGTATTATGTACCTACAAATATTATTATTTATTCCATGATGACTTCGTCACTTTGAAATACATGTTTTTAAGTTTTCAATATATTTTGTGTAGAATTTTACCATTTTGGGTACACTGAAAAAAAAGTTAATTGAATCAAGTAAATGCATTTACTTGAGGTACTTTACTTGAAACAAGACGATATTTTTTATTGGAACAAATTTATTTTCTTGAGTCAAGTAATTTTGAGCATTGAGCAATGTTCTTGAAATAAGAAAATATGAGTTTCATGCAAGTAAATATATCTTACTGTTTCAAGCGAACTGTTTTACTTGCGTCAAGAATCGAAAAAGTATTGAGTCAAGAATATTATTTTCTCATGTCAAGTGATTTACCTTGAGTATTTTTATTTTATTGGGTCAAATCGTTTTGTTGTTTCCTTCAAAACATCTTTTTACTTAATCTAATACTCATAGTCTTGATCCAAGAAAATGGGAAGATTAATAGAAGTAGATACTTGTT